AATCAATCTGATCTCCCAAAAGAGGAGAATTTCGTTCGTAGATTTGTTTTTTGCTTTTTTATTCGTCGGAATTATGATCGACCTGAACGGAGGACTAACACCATCGCCGTTTTCGTATTACGTTATTACAATTCGTGCTGTTTTATTTGCAAACAAGACGACGTGGAGTTTGATATGTGGACATTTTATCTATGTGGGCTGATTTATATAACCCTATGAAACGATTCATGGTTTGGGCCATCCAATTTTTTTCGCTTTGGATTAAAATGAGTTTTTTGTTTGAGAAATATATGAAATTCTCTTTAGTTAGGTTTTCTTGTGCAAATGATCTTCTTTTCGTTATTTCAGTGTTGCCTCTTTTTAGGTTTTGGAGTGATTAAAATATCTCTATTGAAATAGTCAAACATTTATTTTGTAGAAAAAATATAACTAAATACCAAAATATTTACGTAGCTCGAAATGACGAACCGCTTGCATATGTACAATGTAATAGACTTGTGGTACATTTATGACTGAATCCACAAAGATCAAGAAGAGCATTCACTAGCGACGCATGGTTAAAACTAGTCGAAAATTAAATTGTTGTAGATGTTTTTGTTTGCTAAAATTCTAATTGCATAAAATACATCAAAGGCTAAGATTAAACAAATTCGTAACAAATTAGATTCGTCGAAATTTTTATAAATCTACCAAAATAGATTTTTCTCTAAGTTCTTATTATATTTTTCTAAACAAGTGAATAAACTTGATCTATAAACCCTAAAAATCATAGGATCTTGATAAATCTTAACTAATTTATAAAGATGATTCTTCAAAGATATTTGAAATCGATCGACCCAAATTATTGGTGCGACAGGGACTAATTAGATTTTGTCAAGAAATTTACCAAAAGTTGCTTCAACGCCTTAGAAAATTCTTAACGTATGTGTCTCCACTTTAAAAGAAAAAAAAAAGTTCAACAGTTTTAGCATTGAATCCTCAAGTCGTCGTCTAGACTTCCTAGAAAAACTTCTAAAGTTGAAATTTG